ATAAGGTAAAAACGAAATCTTGATAGCCATTATTATTTAGCGAAAGATAGAAAATTAATCTCTGATTTCATTCATTCAATTTGATCTGATCTTAATTAATATAACCATTACCATTTTAACATTATATATTAGTGGTACATAGGGAAGAATTAGTATCAATTCATTTTTTGGAATTAATTTTTCATTTTTATTCGGTCTATTTCAATTTTAATCAACATAATTATGATAGAATAAATCTTGATTTTTTTCACATTATGTGATATTCTTTGGCGCAATAACAAAAATTAAAATAACTCACAATATTTCAGACATTTCACAGTCAGCAAGGAAAAGATAAATGTGATAATATTTGTTTTGATATACAATTAATGAAGCAACGAAATTCTTGTGACCATATTTGTCGTCAAATTGCATCTTTGGATATCGCTTCGTATATTACATCAACTGGTCTTTGCGCCTTGTTATTAGCTTGGCCATTACAGGTTAATAATTGCTATATTATTAATGTTATTCATTCATTTATCGTTGGTATTTCATCCTGACTTTGATTTCTTCAACAAAATATTCCTTATTTGCTTCTCATTATAGCAAGCTTCAATATCAAATTCTTCCAATGTTAAATTTATAAAATTTTTTAATTTTAACATTATGAAATTTTTTTTTCTACAACATGTTACTAGTATTCATTTGCAGGAGACATCAGAACGTATGAGAATACTGAAAACACGTATAGAAAATGACCTCACCAAATTAGATGAAAAATCATTGGCAAAAATAATGATAATTCGTGGACAAATTGAACGGATATTAAATGCTTGTAAAAATGACATGATAAAATCTGAAAGCAGCTAATGCTATCAGTTCATTTATTTACCTATGATCAGTAGCTGTTTATATAGTGCTTCTTTTTTTTTTTAATTTTGCAGAAACATTTAATTATGGAAAAAATATTTAATATTCAAAGAATAAGATTGAAAGAAAAAAGTTCTTCTTGTCTTCCAATCGATTCAATTGATTAATAACTTTAAGGAGAATTATTGTATTCTTAAATTGATAAACTAATGAGCATTTGAGAGAGTAACAGTTTGTATTAACAAGCGTGAGAGAGTGAGTGATACTGTAAAATGATAAGCGTAAATCATAATCGGCAGTATGTTAACAATTTTTATGTATGTCCACAGTACACTGATAAAGTTTGTCGCAAAATTTTTCCATCGACATTCTCAGAATTAACTCCTTTAAATATCATTGAAAATTAATTCTTCCATTTTTCTAAAAAAAATATGAACCATTTCATAAGGCGTTCAATTTCTAACATTTCAAATAATATCATTATTTGAACTGTTATTATTATTAATTACTAATTATAATTTGGCAAAACGGTTTGACAATTTATTTCTATTACTTACAATTAAAAGTAAAACCGATGAATGACATATTCCAGCGAAATGTTAAAAGAAATTAGAAATGGAAAGCATAAGGCTACATAAAGATCACATCATTTAAATAAATTTTTTAAAACAATAAAAGACAAAACAAAGATAAGAACAAACTGTATCAAAAGAAAGATAAGAACAAATTCGAAGCCCATTATTGATGAGAAGCTGGAAGGGTAAAAACTCTTG